TACAAAAAAAATCCAATTTGTACACCACTGCATCAAGTTGAAATTACAGAGTAGATGGAGATTATTATTTCTCACCTGCTGGTTGTTCTTCAGCCATGGTTGTATAGATTGGGAGAGGCGACCGCACCGTTTGCAACCACCTCTACTTTTGCAGGCGATTTTAGGGCTTCTTCGGTTGGCATGTTGGGTGATGGAGCTGCCAATTTATGGTTTTGGTGATGAAATTCAGGAGGTTGGCGGCTATTGTCGGTTGTGCACCGGCCTGCAATGGGAAATATGGCATCAATTTGGGGGAGTTGGGATTCGGGGCTTGTGGGAAAATAGGGCTTCAATTTGGGGGGGTTGAAGTCGCGAGCCAAATTTATTAGTCAATGTTAATATTTTTTTTATTGAGTTGAAATCGTGTTTTCATTATCAAAAAATTCCACATCAATAGCAACCACCTTACTTGGCATGATTTACTCCCACAAACGTGCTACCTAATGTATTCTGTTATCCACATCATCAATCCCGTTAATTTTTCTAACAGACGTTCAATGGGTGATGGATGGGATTACAATTTGGAAAGTTTAGTGACTAACCACGTAACTTTTGAAGTTTAGTGACCCACTGGAAACCTTCGGTAAAGTTCAGTGACTATTGGGGTAATTAACCCTATAAACGTGTCTATGCGGGGTTGTCTGAATAGCCGAAAGCTAAATGATGCTTAAAGATTCATCGATGTGGGCGACGACAAATTAGTTGAAGTTGAGGCTATACGTACTTTTAGATTATTATTAAAGACCGGTTATTATTTGGAATTGAAAGAGACTTTTGTCGTACTGTGTTTTAGACGGAATTTTGTTTCTATTTCTATATTGGAGAAATTTGGTTATTTTTGTTCATTTGGAAATAATAAATGTAGTCTTTTTCTTGATTCAAATTTTGTAGGTACTTGTTCTTTAGCTAGATATGATAATCTATACTTGCTTGATTTGGTTGCCTCTTCTAATAAAAACTTGTATGTGAATTTGTGTAGTATTAAATGTAAATTAACCAATGAGAATTTTGCTTTGTTATGCCATAAGTGATTATGTCATATTTCTCAAAAGAGAATTGAAAAGCTTGAATCAAAAGGAAGTATTGTTTACCATCTCTTCTTTCACAATCTTATAACCTGGATCTGATATCACTTTTGTTGAAAACTTGGAGATGAAACAACAATTTTTGGAAGAGGAGAAGATAATATTAAGATAACACTCAACTTTATTCTTAACACTTCACAATGACTTGTAGAAAATTAGTACAATCACTAGCCTTTTATGAACTTCACAAAACATGAATTTAATCTAATGCATGTACTAATTATAAAATTCAAACTAATTCCCAAAATACATCATGTATTTCTCAAATACATGAATAAATTTATGCATGAATAATCTCAAGATATGAATGAACTTGACTAGATAAATGATGAACTAAATAAATACAGATTTTATATACAACATTAGAGCCCCTGGCCGATTCCCTATCGAACATCCACCAGTATCTAATTAACCATCCATCTGAAGTTAGCAATCGTCGCACCAATATAGGCCGCTTTGGTGATTGCAATTTGTATCGGATACCACATTTCTGCGCTAATACCATATCAACCCATCAATGAGCAGATTTTAGTACAACACCCCTATGTATAATCCCAATCAAGTTATAAGTTCTCCAGAATTACATATCCCATTTGTTAAATTGATAATACAAAATATAGAGAGAAAAGTGAAAAGGAGGCTAGGGTTTCTTCATTGATGAATTAATTGAAAATACAAGAAAATAAAGGTTTAAATAGCCTTACAAAGAGATAAATAAAATGACTAATCTACCCTTAAATAAAACAAATATAATTAACATCTCCCCTTAAACTCATGATGCTGCTGCAAAAAGCATTGAGAGTTTGCCAAACAAAAAAGGAAATCATAAAATAGAAATGTGGCTTTGTAAACAAGTCAGCAATCTGCATGGTAGAAGTAACAAAAAGTAACGTGATAGTACCAAGCTGATGATGACAATCAATCTCAATATGTTTGGTCCTCTCACGAAATACTGAATTGCGCACAATTTGAATAGCACTTTTATTGTCACAATACAATGGAGTAGGTCAACGAATAAATACACCCATATATGCAAAAAACCAACGTAACCCAACCATCTCACAAGTAGTAAAATCCAAGGCACGATACTCTGCTTCTATGGAAGATCTATAAACATTATCTTGCTTCTTACTTTTCTAAGAGATAAGATAACCGCCAAGAAATATACAGAAGCTAATGGTAGACCGACGATCTGTAAGATCACTAGTCCAATCACCATCAGAATATGCTCGCAATTCTAATAAAAAAGTAGATGAAAGTAAAAGACTTTGAAACTGAGTGCCCCGAAGATACCTCAAAATGCGAAGAACGACAGCCCAATGAAATCTAATAGGCAAGGTAACAAAATGACTATCTATATGAACAACATGTGTAGAAAGAGTGCTTACGTATGAGAGATCTAATTGGTAATTACTTCTATAACAAGTAATTCAGTGTCATTAAGCAATTCCTTTTTGTTTTTAGAATCATGCTATGTGTAGAAAGTAGATTGACAAACTTGGTTTACAAACTATAAACTATGTGTTGACAACATCTAGGCCAATCGCTTCAAAAACAGTTTTTGAAGTCAATCAAGATTAATGGCCTAGATCTTGCCATACTTATTTTGTCAACGACTTTTGTAAACAAGCTACGGGACATGTGAGGTGTCTGGTTATTTTGATTGTCTTGTGTTCGATCTATAACTTGCTGGCATAGGACCACATCAAAAGTGGTCGGCCAGATTAAAATCGTCTAACACTCTCGTTTCTACATGATCTTCCATGTAGAAAGGATCTAAATGTAAAATAGTTGAAATCAGAAAAACATAGAAATTATAAAACTATATCATATAGCATTCAAATTCAAAAAAATAAAAAATAAAAAAATCTGAATATAAGTAAAAACCCTACTCATAAACCCAAAGAGCTGCATTTATTGCAGATGGAGTGGGAATAGGCATTGCATTGTTTGCCGATTGCGTCTCCCCTCAATGATTCAACATGCCTTGCCAGTGGCAATTATACGAAGGATCAATGCACTTGTCGATGCATGCGTTCATTTTTTATTTCGATTCTCCAATGCCCATCAGAATAGTTTGCCTTTTGAGCCTGCCTTCTGTCCCATTCCAATTGAGCCTTTTTGTTTCGAGCGCAATAGACAAAACCGTTGGAGTGTTTCCGGCATGGAGTCATGGAGTTTCCACCACTTCTTGTGGGCTATGTCGATTGTTAATTCTTGTAGGAACTCTGTGTTCCAGTTGCAGTCGTAGTCCCGAAAGCACATCCATGGCTTGGTACCCGTTAAAAGTACGAATAATTGAGTTTTAGATGAGTTGGTTCAACATGTTATAATGAACGTGAATTCAAGTTTCACTACAGTCCATTCACGAAAAACTATGCACGCCCCAAACTTATAGCTAATCTCATCTGGATGACTTTACTTTCGAGACAAAATAATCGAGATGGGATTTGAATATAATGTCGCCATTTGCATGAAATAAGGTTAGAACACTGCCCAAATGGTGAAGAATGTAAATAACCGACGGTTCTGCTGTGAAAAGCCTAATTTTCTTCTGCTTCACTTCTTCATCGTCCCCAACCCAAAATTCTTCAAGAAATTCATATACCTCGGAAATCGATGCCATGTGAAAATCTCATTGAGGTATTCCTGATCTCCACCATTATATGATTCAATTTCATTTATATGATCCATCAAAAACTGGAATGTGCAATTCAATGGCTCAATCACCATTACTCTAGAATTGAAAAGTGTTCCATGGTTCCCCGTTACGAAAATTTCCGACGACGAACACAAGAAATCGATGATTTTGGGAATAAGCGGATCGGAATAGATGAAGATTATTTTGTCATAATCTGTAAGTTTCCATAATCGAAACTTGCTGTCGTTCCATTCGTTGTAGGCGTCTTTTTCGGCCTTAGGATTTCTGACTCTTTTTGTGATAATCACTGATTGTATCGTCCACAAGAATAAGGAGGTCTTGGGTGGATCCAGCCATGCGGATGCTCTGGGCTGCGGTTATCGCACTCACAAATTCACAATTATCAAATATTAAGACACAAAAAAAAAAGCCCTAATCATTTACTAGCTTCTTGACCTGATAATCAAAATACACCAACAATTGTATAGAGGGGAAGAAAAATGAAACGAGTGGGTACTTACAGTGGGAAAGGTATTGCTGGTATACGAAATGAGCATGCAAGTTTTACCCACTGCTCTGTCACCGACGGTCACACACTTTATGAACCTCGATGCTCTCATTCTACTCGCCGGCAACCCCAAACGGCCAAACTTCTCCTCCGGTGGGGCAAGCTACTTAAATCTCAGTAGTTTCTCGGCTCTCGCTGTTTAAGAGAGAGAGAGAGAGCAAAGAGTGAGAGAGGGACGAAGGGTGTGAGAGAGTAGAGAGGGTTTTGCCTTTTGGGTCAATGGGTGGGAATTGAGTTTAATTTTAGGTGGGTTGCAAATTGGG